TAACGAAGAATCCCCCTCTCTCTCACCGATGCATGCTGAGCATAGGTGGTTGCAGCGTAGGGGTTCGCCGTAGGCGGAAGCTGCTGCGCACCGGCAGGCATTTGCGCTGCAGCAGCTGCAGCTGGGGGGTACCGAGTATACGGTTGATATGCAGCAGCAGCTGCGGCTGCATGAGTAGGCGCTGCACCCCAAGCCCCAGTACCGCTTGCTCGATACTGCACGGGATTTCCTCCGCGAGGACCTCCTCCGGCGCCGCCCTTCAGTCCATGTCCACCGGCAGTTGGACCAGCGCCTCCTACACCGGCACCAGCACCGGCACCTGCACCGGCACTACCGTTGTTCGCCCCCGCGTACGTCGGCCGTGGTCCATTCGTGCCCTGCTGAAGAAAACAAATACACTCATTATTATGCAACTCTCCACTGAACTTCATAAACGACTCATGTACACTCCAAGCGAGACACAAACGGTAAATCGAACCAAACAAAGACTCAAACAATCTTCCTGATCATACCCAAGTACACCCCGGTATCGATTGAACGTAAATTAATTTTCAATAACCTCAACGCACTTAAATTACTAAGAAAGGTTAAACCTGATTCTACGAACCCTTATTACCCACAATCTCATATCATTAGCAACTCCTTTCTCCACAAAAGCCATTATTCGGAATTCTCGGACACTTGAGCACTCTGTCCCGTTATTAGTCACAGAATCCAAAGTCCAAAGGACGTTAAGAGAACCTCATTGAATTACAGCGAAGCACAGAGCAACTGACCTAACCTCCTTATCCAGGCTACACGCTGCTTTATCACGTTGAAGGCATATTCAATTCTTGATTGCCAACGTGATGCACTATCGACTGGTATATGACAGGTATTAATCTGCTCAGACCGCCATAGTACAATGCGCTCTTACAAACAGTACACAACGTTGTACTATACAATATCGCTTTCCACAAGCTAATAAGATCTTGCTTATCAGACTATCAAACTGTTACCGGTCTCCTATAATTTGATATGCCCTCGCTCTAGGTAGCCTATAGTCTGTACCGGTGCTCGGTCAGGTGCTCGCAGGTAACAAGCCAGATCCAATTAACATACTGGTAGCACTTAGGGCACTAACAAGCGCAGCTACCGGTCGGAGACAGTTGCTTCTTCTCGCTGCTGTTACTCTTGGCACTGCAAGAGTCCATAAAGCATCCGTAAAGTCTCGTCACTGACATTAAGACAAGCCAGTACTTTGGCAACGTGTACTCTTTAAGGGGGAGCCGACTGAAGTCTCTGGGTAGCAGATAACGCTATCGCCAGCTACGACGCAGCTTAGGTCCGGTTTGCATGCACCTTTGTTACGCGACTCCTTCGTGGAAGTACTATTGACAATGAGATTGTTAATGATGTTGAGAGAAAAAAAAATTGTTCTCTTTTTTCTTCCCCCTTCATAAAACATCCAGCCTGAAAATTAATGGTAGCTAAGCGCCAAGGGATACACGTCGGTTGTTACGTGCGAATGAATTTTTCTCTCCCTTAGCTCTGGCGCACTGCTCGCTTCACTCCTCGGCAAGTCCAGAGTGAAGTTAGCGCCGAGTTGAATCAAGATGCCAATCATGCGATTCGCCAATCCAGAAGTCTTCTTTCCCTCGTCAGTCTACAATTACAGGATACGAATGAACGAAATTTTAAGTGTTCTTGAGAAACAATCTTTTTAATCATGACTTCTGTTCAAGTAATGCGTCAAATGCATGTTAATAAATTGGCACTGTCGAGCTGTCAAATAATTTCATTCCCCTTTCTAACGGCACGTTCTTGCTGATATACAGAGAGAGAATGTAGCTGGACGATTTGTAATAAAAAAATTGTAAACAATCCACATTACGCAACGGCACTCCAACAAAGTATTACGTTTCCAAAGAATCTCGTGCAAGTATCCGAATGCATCGTGAAGTATCTACCCAGTATCTGAAGAATCATCAGGCCCCGTGTAAAGCCATTACGAGAGTCGGATAGAATCGTGTGAGGAGTGAATGAACACGCGAGGTTCTAGTGAAGTCACGCGAATGACCGATTAGCATAATTTTTTAAGATTCCCACGATGCAAACAAATATGGCGATATATATATGGCGATACAAGCATAACGAACGAATCCACCGCGTGGTGTCTCTGCCTGTCGTCCGTATGGAATATCCCAGAGGCATCTTTCTACCCACAATGCCCCGAGATCCCAAAGTGAGGGAGACATAGCTACCGAGTAAAAAGACGCGATCAATTTTCGTCCTGGACGTCACGCCTCTACTACCCTAGTCAGTAAAAGTGATAGAAATATTACAAAAAAAAAAAATAATAATCATATTGATCAACGTAGTAACCGTATCAAGCACGAGTAGTGCCCATTACAATGAAAGGAACCGAACGTGCCAATGCTCGAGGATGCTTTGGGGTGCAGAGTAGGAGACGTGTACGAGGGGGTTGCCTGTGGGAGCGTAGGGAACGGAAGATATAGAGAAGAGAGGCAAGTAAGCGAGGGAGGGAGGGAGAAGGAGAGAGAGAGAGAGAGAGAGGGGAACAGAGAAAGAGATGCGAAGAGCAGAGAAGAGCATTGACCCGCAACGCCATGATGTCAAGGCGCGCCAGGCCGGTCTGCGCACACGAAGCGTTCTACTACTGAATTCTAGCGATTAGCGGATCCCAACGGCAACGTTCGTACTACTAGAACGGTACCACCGCCAGACAACCATACGGATCAATGGTTTCGATGGAAAGACCTTGTACTGGAAATCCGCTTCCAGTGAATCCTAAAGAACGACCAATGGTATTTAATTACGGATCGATCATTTCAATGGGGCTGATCGTGAATGATCGACAGATTCCATTAGGTTCTAACGATTAAAACGAACGTTACTGATAGCTGTATTCTGCCGGATAAACTAACTGACACGAAACGATGAGCAGATCATTGATCATAGATACCCCGAACGATTTCGATGAGCAGATCATTGGCGTCGTATGTCTATCTTTCGGAATCTGCTATATACCAATTAACCTCGAAATTCTAATCGTTTTCACTGATAAGGATCGAGCCATTTTTTACGTTACTTCGCGCATTCCCTTTCATCCAGTAATTCGTCCACGTGCCTCTTACTCATCCATCGTCCCTAATTTCCAATGGCACATCCAAACCTAATTGCTTATGATTTTAATACGGTCCATAGTGTATCGACAGATCGCTATTCGTGCCTTTGAATTTACACAGCACCCAAATCCAATACGATAATCGTATCTTTCCTCCTCTAACGGTGATCGATAATTAGGGGAAAAAAAAAAAAAAAGAAAATCAAAAACAAGAATAACAATCATCCCCAGTAACGTCGACGTACGATGATAATAAACGAACGCGAGAACAGCGGCGATACCAACCGGATGTTACTTCCTGCTTACAGTCTCTCCGTATTACAGTTAGACACGTACTAAGGGTCCGTTTCCGTCGTTCGAGTCATCCCACGAAGTACTGACTCAATATCGACATTCTGTGGCAAAGAATCCAGGGGGAACCTTATGGGGGTTCTGCATATAGTAGCTCGGTCCACGCACCCCGTTACGCAAGACAATTTCGTAAGAGCATAGAAAAAGGAATCGCCGAAGGATTGTTTATCGTGATCTAAGGTAAAGGTCCCGCTGGTCTTTTCAACGGATCACAAGAGAGATTTCGTTACCTGTCAAGAACATTCAACTTGACTGACCGCATACGACGGATCGATAATCAGCGCACTATTAATACCTCAGTTAAACGTGACCGACGTGCAATTAATTACTAGAACATTATAACAGGGCAATTCAGATTCTTCGTGGCCATTAAATTTGATACGTAGCACGCAATTATTTTGACAAGCGGTAATTAATAACGATCATCAGTCATTGCGAATGCTCATTCAAGTGCTCGAATGAAATTGTCCAATTTTCTATATTTTGTTTATATATATCACAAGCATGCCGAAGCATACTTTCTTTATAAATATAAATCTTAATGGACATATCGAATTAATCTGTTACCTTCAAAATGAATTTATGATATAACAAGATCTGAATACACAGCCAGTAACAGTAATTTCAACTGAAATTGAACAATCCTTATCCATTCTCATGATTAATCTTACAACGCACGGTTTGCCACGTGGCCGTCTCTTGCATAGTAGTTTGGAAATTACAAAGCGCACTTAATACACTGTAACGGCTGGTTATATCGCGACGTGCACAGGGGTAATAAGTGCAGGGACTGGCTTCAGGCCTATTTCACGTGCAGCCGCTCTGCACAAATCCCGTAGAGGCTGAGAGGTACGATAAGAAAAAGCGAGAGGACACGGTAACAAGAGAGGGATAAGGGACCTGGACCGGGTTGTTATCAAAGAGGCGTGACCGTGCGAGGTCACTGATAACTGATAACAAGGTCCCTTATCCTTGAACGCCGTGAGCAGTGCTCCGACACACGCTTCACTTTTGTCTGTCGGTTTCCCCTCGTCTGCTTCACATATCCACCGTGATGTCCAAAATAACATACACCTTATGAAATAGTCCAAATCTGCAATAAAAATAGTAAAGACGTTATCGCGATAAAAGAAATAATTGTTTGTCTGATAAGATTTTCCAAAATTACATCACCGACCATTCCATGTACAATCAAGTAATTCCATCAACCCCCATACAACTCGCTCGTAGGTGAAAACAAACAAAAAAATTATTAAACCAGTAATCAGTCCGACTATAGTACACATGAGCAGAGATCAGTCACGTGATCCTAACCAATAAGATATATGAGAATTGAAACTCCGAAGAATGAACGATAAAAGGACCCCGTCGCAAATCTCTCTAGCAAGAAGAAACCAGGTGTCACATCCGATGGCTTCAACCACCACCCCCCCCCACCCCTCCTGCCCCCCAGAAACTATCCAGGACTTCAAGCTTTCTTAATGCAAATCTAAATTCCACATCGAGCGTCACGCTCTATCGGACGTCGTCGAGTATTCCGCGAGTAATCCCGTTGTCTGGCTATCTGCAGCAGCCGGCGTACCAGGAGATGCGAATCAAGCGTGCCTCTTAATCTCGATCATAGGGAAGCAGGTAAAGCAGGAGACGGGAGGCGAGCGAGAGGCAAGGCATCGTCAGGGCAGGCGAGCCGAAGAAGAGGAGGCGTGGAAGAGTCTGAAATAATAAAAGAAGAAGAGGAAGAAGTGCAAGATGAAGGAGACAGAGAGGAGAAGGAGGAAGAAGAAGAAGAAGAAGAAAAAGGGAACTTGCCGGCAGAAAGCAGAACCAGTTGTCCACCGCACTCGTCCCCTTTGAGCAGCGTCCTCGGTTGGCGCATACCAGACATTCCGTTTCTTCACCTTGAGAAACGCACGCATGCAACAGCTATGACTGCCGCATCGCGTATCTGACCTTTAAGGGACTGTGTCTCGAAGTGCCCGGCAATATGGGTCTACGGACCCACCTGATCTAAACTTCGAAACCATTGGAGAAGAGAGCCTACGCCCAAGCCATCTGGAACCTTTTACATCGAGCTAACCACCCCCCCCCCCCCCG